CACCCACTTTGTGGCAATTTGTTACGGAAGCCCCAGGAAACTAATACACTCCATCTGTCCCCAGCCTGGACCTCGACCGACACAGCTAACGCCCAGGAGAAATGTGTGAGACTCCCTCGGGGAAGTTGAGGAACCAGAGGAAACGAGCCAGTCCTTCACGGAGACACGAGCTTCCTTCACGGGCTCTAACTGAGCCCATGGACACGACTGGCTCTGTAAGTCATCGGAGAACTAACAGCTCCTCATTTATGGGCCCTGCTTGTTCTGGAATTGCTAGTGGGAATTTCAGGCACCAAAATGGAACCCCTCTAGGGTTCAACTAGTAGTTCCAGAATATTCCAAGCCAATCTGTTCAGTGACATGTGTCTGACTACACATCAGCAGGAGACTCGGTGCAAGGGTAGGGCTCACAGGACAAGAAAGTTTTCTATAGAAAAAGGGTCAGAAACCCTGAGAGCCTGGTTCCCTGGAAGAGGACAGGTGAGATAAGTGGTGGGCCAGGCCTGTGCAGCAGGGTGGACTCCCCCAGGTCAGGGGGCGACACCAACAATCCGCAAGACATGGTCTTCCCAGCCAAGGGGGACCCACCAGTGGCCAGCCTTGTCCCCCTCGCCCTTCCTGGAAGTGGGTGGTCTGTTCTCACACGGGGTCCCTCATGAGAGGGAATCTGCAGTTTGGTGGAGACACACCATGAGCCAGACAAAGTGGACCCTGGGTCATCCTGGGGCTGACCATGTGGGTGTCTAGGAGGTCAGATGCTACCTCACTTATGACTTTTGGGGCTACGAGCAACCAGAACCCAACTCAAACCTGTATTCACCCAAGAGACTGGAAAGGCTTGTTCCAGTCTTAGAGTCGAGTGTCCAAATGGTGCCACCAGGATCCAGTCTTTTTTTTGCCACCTCTCAGCAACACATCCTCTGTGTGGGCTTCGCTCTCAGCAGGCTCTTCCGTCAGCGTGACAAGGGGGACACAAAAGGCTCCAGGTGCATGTCCCAGCTGCGAGAAGACATTCCTCTTTCCTAATAGTTCAAACGAAAGTGCTGACACCCACTGAGTATGTGGCCATCTCGATGCCACCTACACGTGTCTGACTGCCAGGGCCAGGTGCCTATTCTAGGGCAGGAGGTGTGGGGCAGCCACATCTGAACACGGGCAGAGTGGGGACGGGTGGTTTCCCAAGAGAAAACAGAGGTGCTCTTCCAAGAAGAGAGGGAGGACACAGATTTTGCAGGTAAAAAATAACTTTTCTCTTAAAATGTTTAAGAGAAGGCAAGAGAACAAACACACACTGAGCATTTACAAAACCCACTTGCTACCTTACTAGGGTCTTTCGCTCCTTACCCGATGCAACGCTCCCAGCAAGCCTCTAAGATAAATGCTATTTCCATTTCTACCAAGGAGGAAAACAGAGGCTTAGGAAGCTGGTAGCCAAAGTCGCAGAGCTGGGACTTATAAGTGGAGATGGCTGAGTCACTCACAGACAAGATCTAGAACCTGCCAGGCGTTTCTGTGTTAGACAGGGTGAGGTTTCCCAATGTAGGGTCGGGTCAGGAGTGGTATTGGAGAAGCTCTAGGTTGCTTGGGGTTACATTAGTTACAAAAATAAGTGAAGGAGCTTCCCTAGAAGGCTGAGCTGGGGTGGAGTTTGGTCTGGACTAGATAGTGCTCCATTGGCACCAAGGGGAACATCCAGGTATATAAATAATCGACCAATCTGGGAGACTTAGCAGGCACTTGTGATGCCCCCTGGCACGACTCCCTGCTCCTTCCCACTGTCAGCTGTGGCCACGGAGGAAGGTTCCGTGCATCCTGACAGCGTCCCTCCTCCTCTTTCCACTTTTCCATCTTGGGGCTTTCGCCACAGCGCCTGCGTTCCTTCAGCCCACGCAGGTGCAGTCCAGCATTGGAGAAAGTTAATGTCCCCAGGGGCAACCCTCAACCGGGGACAGGACTTGGTGGACAGTGCCCCAAGCTCTCACCTTTTGGAGGGACAAATCTCAGGCGCATTCTTTCTGGTTCCTCACCAGGTCTGCAACAGGTTTGGTCCCAGCTGGTCACCCTGGTCTTCCCTGTCCCAGTTTTTGTGTCAGGTTCTGCTTCCGGGAAAACCTCAACTAAGACCAAAGATGTTTTGGAGGTGGCACCATTTGAGGTCAACGGGCAGCATATTGTGGATTAGTAGTTTGTAAGAGATTGAAATGTATGCAAATTCATTCATATAAAAAGGGAGTTTATTAAGAGAATAAAGGGAGATAACTCAAAAAATAAAACATCCGGGTTCTTGGAAGTTGGAATATTTGGGGGCCATCCCTCTCCTGTCTGTTTTTCTCCCTGTCTGCCTGCCCTACTTTCCTCTCTGCAGCTGCCACTCTCTGTTTACCTGGGATTTCTGCTCCCAGGCTCGACTTGATGAGACGTCAAGTCTGATCGGAGATCTGTGGAATCCTGGAGTTCGATTCCCCGGGGCAAGCTGGCTCAGTCTGCCACACGCTCCCCGCCACCCAGCAACCCACGTTCCAGTCCACATTTCTGGGAAAGAAAAACCGGCCCAGCTTGAATCAAAGGTCCACCCCTGGTCCAATCACCTCTCAGGCTGTCCTCTTCCAAGTCACGTGGGGAGACTGCACCTCCAGGAAAGGGGTGAAAGAGAGGAGGCCACGCACAGTCAAGGAAGTGGCCACCCGTGCAAGGGCAATCAGCGCGGCTGAGTTGGGAGATGGGTGAAGAGGCCGGTCAATGATCCAGGTGGTTGACAGGGACGGCCGAGCAGAGCAAAGGACAGGGACAGATGAAAGCGAAGTGGGGAATGTGGAAGTATTAATAGCAAGAGATGGCAGCTGAGTGAGGAGCCAGAAACAGAGGTCAAAGATGACTAGGAGGTTTTACGGGGAAGATGAGAGGGTCAACCATGTAGAAAATGCAGAAGTTTGGGATATACTGAGTTTTTTTTTTTTTTTCTTAAACCTAAGGTATGAAATGGGATATACTGAGTTTGAAGCAGGATAGCAAGGTAGTCTATGTCCACCTGAATCAAATAAGTCAATCTACATCCTTGGGTGTAAGTCTTTGGGTCATTCCTTTTTTTCTGCAGTGAGGATGGTTGTTTATATGGGATTACATTATTATTCTTTAATTCTAATCAAATTGAATTGAGTTTCACACCCAAGTTTACCTAGTCATCTAAGGTTTTGTAGAAGTGATGTGAAATGTAACAACAGACCGCAATGATGGAAAAAGATAATTTAATCAAACAGAAAATTATTTCCAGCTTAGATATAGTTCTTCACATAGGATGGAGGACAAATTAACAATTCTATATTCAAAAAAATGGCCTTAAATTAAAACTTGCAGAATTAAAGATACAGAGAGGCCAGGTACGGTGGCACATGCCTATAGCCCCAGCCATTTGGGAGGAGGCTGAGGCCCGAGGACGGCTTGAGCCCTGGAGTTCGAGGGTGTCGTGCTATAGTGCGCTAGGATGACGCCACTGCACTCCAGCTTGGGAAGGCAACAGAGCAAGACTTCATCTCAAAAAAAAAAAAAACCACCATACAGACAGAACAAAGCATATTTAAAGGATTTAAAGTTCAAACATAAGTAAACTTAACGAATATACTACTTAAGCATAGACAGATATGTGATGTAACTCTAAAGAAAAAGCAAGGGAGGATTAAGGATTGAAAAGAGTCAGCAGAGCGGTTACCTGTGTAGTGGTCAGGAGTGCAGAGGTGGCCAAGAAGAGACAGGGGCTGCATACGTACTGACAAAGCTGGTGTTTCATAGGCTTAGTGGTTGAGTTCATAAGTGATGTTTTATTATTCTTTAAACCATTTTGCATGCATGATTCACACTTTCAGATTTACGATATATTTTATGATTTTTACAAGTCAAGAAAAAGACAGCAGCCTTGTTTACAGCGCAGACGTGGGCAGCTGTTGTGTTCGCTCTCGGAAGGGTACAGCAGCTGTGCCTCCTGGACGAGGAGGACGATCGGAAAGACCTTAGGTCCCTTAGATAGATAGGGCGGAATCCAAAAGAGGTTCAGTAGGGTTAGCTCAAGTCTGAATCCTCTCATTCGTCCCTAAATTACAAAGGCTTATGGGGCAGTGATCAAGACAGAGCTGCCCAGAGTCCCGTCTCCACAACCGACTGGTTGTGTGATGTTGGACACACTGTGTGGCTTTCTAAAGTAACAGTAAAATGGGGACGAGGCTAGCACAGATGCTCCTTGACCTGTGATGGGGTTATGTCCTCATAAACCCTTCATACATTGAAAATATTCTAAGTCTGAAAAAAATGCACTTAATACACATCTCTGGAACATCATAGCTTAGCTTAGCCTCCTTAAACATTTACATAAGCTACAGATGGGCAGAATTCTCTAACACAAAGCCTATTTTATAACAAAGTTGTGAATACTTTACATAACTTATTGAATACTGCATTGAAAGTAGAAAACAGAATGGCGGTATGCAGACTCAAAGTACAGTTTCTACGGAATGCAAATCGCTTGTGCACCTTCACAAGGTTGAAAAATTGTTAAGTCGAACCATCTAAGTTGGGGACCACCGGTACTTGTTTTGCAGCATTTGCTTTGGGGATAAATGAAATGCTTTGAGTACCTGAAGGTAAAAAGTGCAAGGATGACAAGAGCTCAGGCCCCAAGCCTTCAACAGCAGAGCGTCATTCTTTTACACCCGGCAAGTGGGAAGCTACTCGCGACCACACAAGTCAAATGGGGGGCCATGCAAATAAAGATGAGAGAGACAGCCCTAAGCAAATGAACCAATGATGGGGACAGACAGCCTCGAGCATCCACTGAATCCCAACTCTTGGCTTTGGGGTCTTTTAAGTCTGATTCTGGGAGAAATTAATCACATGGATTAATAAAAAAAAAAAAAGACCTAAAGGAAATTAGAAAGCACTAAGCCAAAACAATGATGACACTAACTTGAAACTTTCCTAAAAACAACATTCATTATGTACTCATTTATTTTAAATCCCACTGAGTGAGTACCTGCCCTGTGCCAGATGGTACAGATGTTGCAAAGATAAATAAAATAAGGCTCAGGCTGTGATCTCAAAGGTTTCCCCAAGGAGCATGACTGTCTTCTCAGCGCCCAAAGTGTCTACAGAAGTGTGTCCATAAATTTTATCGCTATTTTATAACCAATATTCCTATTTCTTTATTGCTCTTTATAAGCAGTTTTCTATTTTCTTTATTGCACTTTATAGTCAAGAAAGTATAATACTAAAAATGAAATCTCAACCCCCTATCACAATTCTGTTCCGTGGGCAAACTATTAAGAGAAAAAAAATGCTGCCAAGTCAATTGGTATATAGCTTTCCAGTCTTTTGTTTTTCGAAAGCATCATACTGTACCATACTGTCCCATGACTCGCTTTTCCTCTTAGGAGTATTTCTTGGCCATCTTCATCACGTGCATACATAGAAAGGTCCACTTTTTTCTTTTATTATAGTTGACATGCTGAAAATCCCTTTAAAGTATCGTTTTATAAAGGTGATATATCAAAACAGGGGAAAAAATAAACACAACAGAAGGTTACAAAGGGAAAAGTAAAATTCTTTATCTAATCTCTCATCTTGCAATCCTAGACCCTAGAGCTGTGGTCCCCAACCCCTGGGCCACAGGCCAGTACCAATCCATGGCCCGTTAGGAACTGGGCTGCACAGCAGGAGGTGAGCAGCAGGTGAGCAAGTGCAGCTTCATCTGTATTTACAGCAGCTCCCCATCAGTCAGTCTGAAAAGGTTACCTATTGCATGATTCCACGGATGTGGTTTTCTTACACAAAACTGGGGAGAAGTGATCGGTGATCACCGGGGGCTAGGGGGCATTTTGGGGTGAAGAACCACAGAGGGAGCTTGAGCGGTGATGGAATTGTTCTGTGTCCTAATTATGGTCATTATTACACGAATCCATATATGGTTAAAATTCACAGAAGTACACACATACACAAACACATACACACACAAGTTAATTTTACAGCATGGTAATTCTTAAATTTTAAAAAACGAGCCCTAAGTTTAACTAATGAGTAACGGTTGTAGGCAGCAGTCAATAGGACCCAATCCTCACATGACTCAACTGCTATGTCCATTAAACCTAAGGTGCCATTGATTATTTTTTGCCACACTTTTAAGGAAAAAAAATACATAGTTTCCATGTAAACTATGATGCAATGCTAAGATACCATCAACTGTGATAAACATCCCAATTTCAGAGATGCTCAAGTGTGAAAACATGCATGAGATCACTGAAATATGCCATTTCCTTTAGTAAAGACGGCTGTTCACAGTCACCTAAGGAGGAACATGAGACTTGAGATTTTCCACCGTGACTACAGACCTTTCCTTTTACTTCCTTTCACTGTTCACGAGAAATAAGGTCAGCTCAAAGTTATGTTATAGTCAGGGCTGTCCTTACTTACAATCTTTTTCCCAGACAGAGAGCAGCAGGTTGAAGGTTAGCAAGTCTTACACACTCGGGATTGTCACTCACCCTTTTCTGGTACAAGACTCCAGCTGACTCCTCCCTAGACAAAGAACAGGGAAGACTGTTAGAACTCACAATGTCTGACACGATGTGAGGCCCAGTAGAGGCTGAAGATCCTTTCTAAGCCTGTGGTTTTCTCGAGCCACCCAGAGACGCTCAAGTGATTAAGGTAAGCTGCTTCAGAGACAGCAAAACTGGTCCTGGACTCAGTCTCCTATATGCAGAGCAACCCTGGCCAGGTCACCTGGCCTCCCCGAACTTCCGTCTCCTCATCTATAAAATGAAGGCAATGCTAGTTCTTGCTTACCGGATACTGATGCAGAGATTAACGCATGATGTTTGTAAAGTATTAATACAACAGGCGACATTATTAGGATAACAGTGAAGGTGGGTGTTTGCTTCTATAAAACTCCTGCCAAAAAGTATTCCAGGGAAAGACACAGAGAGCTCCATGTGGATGGGACAGTTAATTTTATGTGTCCACTAGACCGGGCCATGGTGCCCAGATATCTGATCAAACATCACTCTGGATGTTTCTATGAGAGTGTTTTTGGAGAGATTTACATTTAAATCAGTGGACTTTGAGTAAAGAGGGTTGCCCTCCAAAGTGTGGGTGGGCCGCATCTTATCAGTTGAAGGGCTGACCTCCTCTGAGCGAGAGGGCTTTCTCCAGCAGACAGCCGTGGACTTTGTCTGCAATGCCAGCTCTTCCTGGTGTTTTGGCAGACTATCTTTGGACCCAAACTTCTACTCTTTCCTGAGTCTCCAGCCTGCCAGTCTCCCCCGTTAGACATGGACATGCTAAGCCTCCACAGTCATGCGAGCTGATTCCTTAAAATAAGTCTCTTCACACACACACACACACACACTCTCTCTCTCTCTCTCTCTCTCTCTCTCTCTCTCTCTCTCTATTGGTTCTGTTTCTCTAGAGAACCCTGACTGACACAGTAGGAAAACCTCATTAAGCCAAAAAGGCTTAATTTTCACTTGACCCCTTTAGAAGTGATATATAACAATATTTTCCCAAAGGGCACCTAAAGACAGAAAGTAAGATCTGGCCGACGCACAGTCTTGGACATCCTCTGTGCACGCATACATCGGGTAATGCACCAGGAAAAGAGAAAGAGGAAAAGGAGAATGAAAGGGAGACGAAAGAAGGTACAGATGTTGAATCTTAGCACAGCTAGGAGCTTTTCCAGGTCTTCAAGCCCAACTTCTTACAAATGCAGGGAACCCCAGATGACATCCCAGGCCTCTTCTTGGTGAGGCGGCCTGTGCAACTCCTGACAGTGGAGACTAGTAGAAGGGATGTCCTTTCAAGAAGTCAAGATCTGCCTTCAAGTCTCCTTCTTCCCCTCGGTTCTGGTCTAATCACCAGAAGCAACTCAAGAGAAATGGAATCGCCCTTCTAGCCGGGTTTCCCTGCAGTAGCTGAACACTACCATCCCCATTCCTGAGTCTCTTCACCAGCTGTCATTTAAAATTCCCTCCTTCCTCAACCCTCCCCTGTACAGGACGGTCTCCAGCCCACCTGTCCACCCGCCTTGTGGGTATGGTCACGATTTGCTAATAATGTTCCTCTTAAAACGAGGCTCCGAGAACTCCGGGCTCACTCCACGTGGAGGTTGACTGCTCCAGACTGTGCAACCATGTTTCTGCCCGTACAAAACTGAGTTTATGTGATTTGACTTTTTAACCTGAACTAAGACTGAATACACTTATCCATGTCACAGTTCGCCTTTGAGATGATTTCAATTCATAATTGTTAAAGAAAAAAAAAAGTCTGCAAAACTGATAAAGAGGCCATCTCTGCCTCCGTGAAGCCATGGATACAAGCAAGACAGACATGGAAAGCAAAATGGCAAGACCCCTACGGGATTTATCTGTCCTTACTTGATGCCACTAGTTACCGGGGCCATGACCAAGATAATAAACTCTCCTTTTTTTTTTTTTTTTTTTTTTATCACTCAACATTACCTTTCTTTTTCTTTCTGTTCCAGAATGGTTGCCCCTCAGTTTCAGTCTCCTAGTGCCTGTACGGTCCTACATAGTCATCTCCAACTGAGTCTTGTGTCATCCATCGCTGGGTGACTGTGGCCAAGTCAAGTCACCACGCCCTTTTCACAGCTGTGAGATGGCCTGCACTGGACAAACGACATCCCGAAGGCTCTTCTACCCTTACAGTTCTTTAGATATGTGACATCCCAGGTCCCAGGATGTGTCTGCCAAGCTCCCCCAGGTCCCCACACTTCTGTGACACCCAATCTACTCACGGGTCAGAAACATCCGCTGCCCTCTTGGCCCCCACAATTGTCCTCGAGCCGAACCGGACCAGGTCGTGCGTGAGAACAGGAGTTCTGTTTCCTTTCTTCTTGGGGGCTGTCTGAGAATAACCACAGAATAGTGTTTAGAGTGAGCCATTCTAGGCAACTAAAATTCTCAAGAGAGCTGAGTCAATTAGTCTACCTGTTTACATAGAATGCTAGCTTGAATCCAATCAGTAAACTATTTTAAAAGAGTCTGGGGAAGGAAGACAGAATTTAATAATGCATCTTTGGGTCTCCACGATGATAAATAACTAGTTTGACTGAATATTACACTTTTCTTTCTCTGCTTGACTAATCCTGGGTTGCTTTCAATATAACTTAAGTTACAGCAAGCAGAAGTTAAAATATTTTATGGATGAAGCTCAAGTCTGACATCCTGGCATCCTAAGTCTGACAAAAAGCACCCCGGTTCTGGAACCAGGGGCTGAGTCCTGCCCGAAATGTGACTACCAAGCCACACTGCAGCCCTGAACTTTCTGGCACTCAGTTTTTCTCATCTGCAAAACAAGGGTCTTTTCTATTGACCCCCGGGCCTCTTCTAGCTAGTGGTCTCACTGCCAAACAGAATGAAGAGACAAGCTACAGACTGGCAGGAAATATTTCCAAATCACATATCTGAGGAAGAACTTCCATTCAAAATATATAACAAACTCTCGAAACTCAATAACAAAACAACCAATTCAAAAATAGGCAAAAGATTTGAACAGCTGTTTCACTTAAAGAAGAGAGATATCACACTCTGGGATACCGAGGCAGGTGGATTGCTCAAGATCAGGAGTTCAAAACCAGCCTGAGCAAGGGTAAGACCCCCATCTCTACTGTAAATAGAAAGAAATTAATTGGCCAACTAAAACTATATAGAGAAAAAATTAGCCGGGCATGGTGGTGCATGCCTGTAGTCCCAGCTACTCGGGAGGCTGAGGCAGGAGGATTGCTTGAGCCCGCTGATGCCATGGCACTCTATCCCGGGCAACAGTGAGACTTTGTCTAAAAAAAAAAAAAAAGAGGAGGGATATCAAATGAACACACTGAAAGAAGTTTAACATCTTCAGTCAACCAGGAAATTAAATCGAAACCAAGGTGATGCACCACCAGACACCAACTGGAATAGGTAAAATTTAAAAGACTGATGGTAAAGGTAGGGAGCAGCTGGAATTCTCATACAGTACTGGTGGGAACGTAAACCGCTAGAACTGTTTTGGAAAACAGTTTGACAGTTTCTCAACGCACCTACTACAGGACTGAGCCATCCCACACCTACACGTTTACCCAAGAGAAAGGAGACCATATGCCCACACAAAGACTTGCATACAAATATTTATAGCAGCTTTATTTGTAAGAGCCAAAAAACAGAAACCACCCAAATGTCCATGAGCAGATGAATGGGTAAACAAAGTGTGGTATATCCATACAATTGAATACTACCCGACACAAAAAGGAATGAGCCATTGATGCATGCAACAATGTGAATGAATCTCAAAAAAATTATACTGAATGAGGGAAGCAAGACAAGAAAAAGTACATCCTGTATGATTCCATTTATATGAAATTCTAGAAAATGCAAACTAATCTATAGTGGCATAGAGACAGAAAACAAATCAGTGATTGCTAAGGAAGGAGAAATTACAAACAAATATGAGGAAATTTGGGGGGGTGACAATAATGTTTATTTTCATTATGGTGATGGTACTTTCATGGAGATAGATAAAAATATATCCAATTGTACACATTAAACATGTGAAATTTATTGTATGATAATTATACTTCAACAAATCTGTTTATAAATGAAATTTTTTTAAAACTTTGGGTAAATACTTGCTAGGGAATTGGAAATTTGTATTACCAAAATAATAAGCCACAGATGACTCCCTGGTAGCAAGGGGGAGATGAAACAGTACCATGGAGTCATCAGATGGTCATCACCTTAATCGAGTGGTCAGTGTCAACATCACCATGCAGCAGGTCAAGCAGATGTTAAGTGTCTTGTGACAGACACAATACAAAATTCCCAACATCACCTATGAGCCAGACTAACCAGAAATGCTTAACTTGCTACTGTCAAACTCTTAGATTTAATGTCCAGATATAGGAAACACAGGGGATAAAAAAACAAGCAAAGGGACACACCACTCGTATTTTGGGACATTTTGTATTTAACAGGCTCAGCCTCTATAGCAAGTCAGTGCTAAAGAACCTAACAACTATTAAATAGATGCAAGAATGGGCTTAGATTGGATCTTGGTTGGTACACATTTTCTGTAAAGAGAATTAGTGGTCCAAAGAGGGAAATCTGAATTATAGACTTGAGTATTAGAGGAGATAGAGAATACTGCCATGGGAGGGTAGATTAACATAAACATAGCACATGTACAAAACACATGGATAAGATGATCTCACTTTGGATAGATATGGATGAATGGATGGATGGATATGGATATGGATATGGATATGGATAGATAGAACTTTGCTAATGGAAATTTTTTTGTGGTAAGAATTTTTTCTTATTTTTGCATATCCACATTTTATAATTACTTAAAATGCACATATGTTGAATTTTGGTTAAAAAAGATATTGTTTTCTTCATGAAATAAGAGCCTTAAGAATTATTTTCACAAGCAACCTTCAATTTAAATGAGTTCCTGGTGGGGCCTCGTATCAGAGCTATAATTGCACTGTTTACTGCCATACGACATTGAACTTGATTACAAACAGATTGAAAGATACATGTTTGCTTCTGAAGGTACATGCTGTGCCCAAGCAAACAAGGCATGTGCAGGCATGTGCAGGCATAGGCACACACACACACACACACACACACACACACACTCACATGCAGAACGTACCTTGCTGCAAGCCCATTCTCTCTGAGGATGAGTAAGAAGCTTGCCTGGCTTCTGTCCCCTCCTGGGATCATGGTGTGCTGAACTCAAGGGATCCAAGAACCCCCTTATGTAGCTTGGCACCTGGACATGAGATGGAATGGCCATTCATTCGGAGCTTTCCAAAAAAATTAAATCTTTCCCAATAAAACTACAGCAGTGGTTCTCAAAGTGTAGTCCCTGGGCCAGCAGAATCAGCATCGCTGGGACTTTGTGAGACATGCATGTCCTCAGGCCCCACCCCAGCCCTCCTGAGTCAGAAACCAGGGGTGGGGCCCAGCAGTCTGTGTTTTCACAGGTCCTCCTGGTGATGCTCACTGAAGCTTGTGAACCACTGGACTGTGATGTCCCCTCCTGTCCCTGACTCCCTCTGCTCCATGCTAAGAAACACAGGGAGGATGGCGAAATCACCCTCATTAGCCTTCAGATGTCATCAATTCCTTGGGCTTATGGCAGAAAATAACACATGGATCACGGCTATGTAAAAGCATAAGGATGACATCTCAGAAGCAAATTACAGTCCTATTGATATTTATAGGTGACTTTATGCCTATTGAGAATTGGCTTCTTAAGTTGTCCATAAACCTTTTTTAAAAGTACACTATTAATCTACTTTAAAATAGGGCTTTTGGTAATGACAATACTCTTTCTAACCAGTGGCTAAAAAAACCCAGTAGATCAGGAAATAGGTTAAGAAAAGTGTACATCAGGGTTTCTCAACTCTGGCACTATTGACATTTGGGGCCAGATAACCCTCTGCTGGGGGTTGATGTCCCTCCCATGCATTGGGGATGATTAGCAACATCCTTGGCCTCTACTCACTAGATGCCAGTAGCACTGTGCCCCCTGCCCCCACAAAAAGTGACAATCAAAAGTGTCTCCGGATTTCTGCAAATGTCCCCAGAAGAGCAAGATCACTCCCCACACCCGCCACCATTGAACAGCTGTTGTACATGAAAGTTAGTAGAACCTGGCTTTAAAGTGCTCAGAGAGAGACATCCCACTTACCCTCCTGATGTGAGCTGTTCCCAGAAACTCATCTCTAGAAAAAGAGAACAACATGACATTCTAGTTATTGCACCTTTTAGGGCATGAACTGGGTGGAGCCGGGACGGAGGCATGGCGTTGTCTTCTTCCCCAGCCCGGGGGCTCATCCCCTCCTCCCTCTGTGCCCAGCCACATGGCACCTGCTTCCTGCTGCCTCTCCCAGCTCCGCCTTCCAACTGCCCACACCATTTCTCCCCAGAATTTGAAGGGAACTAAGAAAGAATGATGTCACAAGCTTCATAGGAAAGAATGACCCACAGTGTCAACCACCGTGGAGAGGCGGGACAGGTTGGGAATGGAAAGGAATGGCATTCAGAAGGAAGCTAAATGGCAGATGGGAGAGGGGAGGTCACTGACAACTCAGCAAGAGCCTTGGGTGGGCGTGGCTGATTACAGCAGTTTCCAGAGTGAAAGGAAGATGAGGCAGGAGGGGAGGCACCCAGGGGCGATGACGAGGTCAGGGACGTGCAGAGCAAGGTCTCGGCTCACACGTGATCTATTCACCTCACCCTCCTGGCGCCCACCAGGGTCCTGGGTCCGAACCTGACCACGTTGTGCGTGAGCACTCGCCTCTCCTCCTTCCAGCAACGGGACATCTGTGGGGGCAACGACATGCTAGTGGGTCGCAGGGACTGGCTCCTGGCACTGAGGTTGAGAGGTGCCAGGGGTCTTTTCCCTTCTCAACAGACGACAAAATGGATGCTTGACAAACAGTCGCTGACATGTACGATCCCTGGAGACTTAACATGATATAAAGTCAAGTTCATCTCCCTTCTCCTCTTCCAGAATCCCACATACCACCCTCTGTCTCCTGTGTGCTTCTCCGGGCATATTTTGCGACAAACATATTTGTTATTCAGATAAGCACAACAAATCCTGTTCCACCACTGCAATTTACCCAACTGTACAAAATCATAAAGATAATCCAGATATTCACTGCAGAATAATGTAGAAGAGAAAAATTTAACCATGAGAGAAGAACGTCTGCAGTCCAAGGGTTTGAACTGGAGCCCACCTAATTGCCAAACATATCCCAGGTGTTTTGGAACATAACCCTGTTTCATTTTCTCCCCAGCGCATGCTGCTTTAAGAAAGTGATTACTTGGGGCTTTCTTTTTTGTCTATCTCTGAAGCCTGAAATGTAGGCTTTGTGAGAGTAAGGACTCCGTTTGCTCTGATCAGCAAAGTACCCTGAAGCCGGAAACAGACACCGGAACAGTGTGTGGCACATAGTATGTAGTCAAGAATGTTGACTGGGGGGTTGGATTGCTGAATGAATGGATAGATTGATTGATGGACAGATGGATGGATGGATGGATGGATGGATGGATGGATAAGTTAGTTCATCTATCTCTGTCTCTCAGATTGTACAACCCTACTCAAATAAAGACCCACCCAGACTCCTATTATAATCTAATTCCATCCTAATTAAGCTGTGTTGTCAATCTTTACACAAGCAGAAGATGTTGACTCACCTTTTTATTTTCTGTTCCAGATGCTTCCTCACTAAGAAACAGGGAAGCGAAATCGTTTAGAATATTCACCTCTTTTGGATCAGTCATGAGCAATTCAGCATGAGAAGCTACCTTCTCAGATCTAAAGAATTAAACTTGAGGTTTCCTGGTGAAAACCCTTAGTCCCAGATTATCCTGATTCTATGGGCAATGAGACAGGGCCCTGGAGAGGAGTAGGGGGCCTCAGACCCATTCTGTTTCCATGGTAGTAAGAGAACTGTGGCCATTCCCAGGGGTTCCATCACGGCTACCTCATCCCATGTGTATTCAATTAAGGACATGCTCTTTTTTTATTTGTACAAATTTATGAGTTACATGTGCAATTTTGTTACATGCATACATTGCGTGGTGGTCAAGTCAGGTTTTCTAGAGTATCCATCACCCGAATACTATACATTGTACCCATTAACCAGTTTCTCTTCATCCACCCCCCTCACACCCTCTCACCCTTCTGTCTCCATTGTCTGTTATTCCACTCTTACATCCAAGTGTACACATTTTTTTTAGCAGCCACTTATGAGTGAGAACATGTGATATTTGACTTTCTGTGCCTGGCTTGTTTCATTTAACATAATGAATGGCCTCCAGTTCTATCCATGTTGCTTCAAAAAACATGATTTCATTCTTTTTTTATGGCTGAATTCCACTGTGTAAAATATACCATGTTTTCTTTATCCATTCCTCCACTGATGAACACTAAGGTTGATTCCATATGTCTGCTATTGTGAATAGTGCTACAATAAACATACAAGTGCGGACATGTTTTTGATATATTGATTTCCTTTGGGTAGATAGCCAGTAGTGGGATAGCTGGATTTAATGATAGTTCTATTTTTAGTTCTTTGAGAACTCCCAGACTGTTTTCCACAGAGGTTGGACTAATTTACATTCCACCAACAGTGTAATAAGAGTTCCCTTTCCACCACATCCTTGCTAACATCTGTTATTTTTTTGTCTTTTTAATAATAGGCATTCTGACTGGAGTAAGATGATGTCCCATTGAGGTTTTAATTTGCATCTCTCTGGTGATCAGTGATGTTGAACATTTTTTTCCATATACTCATGAGCCATCTGTGTATCTTCTTTGGAAAAGTGTCTATTCATGTTCTTTGCCTACTTTTTAATGGGATTATTTGAGGTTTCTGTTGTTGTTGTTGTTGAGTTCCTTATATATGCTGGCTATTAGTCCCAGTCAGATGAACAGTTTACAAATATTTTCTTCCTTCCTACAGGTTGTCTGTTCACTCTGTTGAACACTTCTTTGTGTAGAAGTTTTTAGTCTAAGCCCCATTTATCTAATTTTGTTTTTGTTGCCTTTATGACTTTTAAGGTCTCAGTCATAAATTCTTTGCCACGGCCAATGTCCAGAAGAGTTTTCACTAAGGTTTCTTCCAGTATTTCTATAGTTTCAAGTCTTCCATTTAAGTCTTTAATACATTTTGAGTTGATTTCTGTGTATGGTGAGATATAAGGGTCTAGTTTCATTCTTCTGCGTATGGCTATCCAATTTTCCCAGCACCATTTATTGAAAAGGGTATCCTTTCCCCAATGTATGCTCTTGTCAGCTTTGTCAAAGATCAGTTGGCTATGAATATGTGGCTTTATTTCTAGGTTCTTAATTCTATTCCACTGGTCTGTGTATTTTCATATGAATACCATGCTGTTTTGGTTACTATAACCCTGTACTATAATTCTAATACAGGTAATCTGATATCTCCAGCTTTGTTATTTTGTTTAAAGACCTAAATTGGAAGGATTTACCCTGCTTAAATAAAATTTCATCATTGATCTGCAGCTTGAGTGATTCACTAATGGCAAAAATCATAGAAAATTTCAAGGCTAATAACACACTGCAACAGTAATCACCTAAGAAAGGACAGGCCACATATCCGTAGGAATCTTTCTCTACATTCTACCACTAACCACTGTTTTTCTCCATTAAAAAATATGCAAATTAAATTATTTAAATTAAATTTGTATTTAAATATGCAAATTCCCTCACATTAGAACATAATGTAACAACACAAGGGTTTTTTCCTACAAGGTGTATAAAACATGATGTTCAGGACATCATTTTTTTTTCAGGCCATTAGTGTTTTTAATACTAAAAACTTAGAAACAATCTAAATGCCCCTTAATTGGGGGATAATTAACATATGATTCATTTCCATTAGCAAGTTATAAGCAGCATTTGAAAAGAATAAAGCAGACCTGTAGATATCTGGAAAAAGCTCCAAAAATTTAAGTTAAGGAAGAAAGCAAGTAGCAAAACAATAACTTGAATGTGGTGGTATGAAATTAAGAAACAATTCCAAAAGAAACTAGAAATGTCTATAACAGAGTGGTGAGTCAAGTATTCATTGAATGTGAGCCTTCCAGCCTGGAAACAACCTCACAGCCTTTCCATCTGGAAGCAGGACTGGGAATACAGAGATTGCTCACTGAAAGCAAATTAGTAGCAAAGAGCCACAGTTTCTAAACTCACATTTCACCATTTCAGTAAGTAAGGAGAGCAAGGAGTATGGGAATTTCTCCCTGCTGCCAGATTTTGTACTTGGCTTCTCTTGTCTAGATATCCACCTTTGGGGGCTCAATTTTGCTGAAATAGTTTAAAACATTTACATTGAATTGATTAGGTTTTTGTTTATTTAGTATCACTGTGTTTCCATAATTCTCACGTAATATATTTTAAATTTCCAACTGCATTTTATCTCTACTCAAGACTTGACAATATAAATCATGAGAGTCATTGCTCTTCATGTTTTTCCTGTACTTTTCCTCTTTTGTAATATCTATTAGAATTCTATGATCATTTGGTTAAAGTATTGTCCACGGAGAGAACAGATTATGGTCAACTGGGTGACCCTGGTCAAGTTATTAGCTTGCCCACATAAAACAGCCATTTTGGAAGGTGGAAAATGGTCAGATATGATTCAAACTTAGTATTTAAACTCTCTGTGCCTCCATCCCCACACCTGCAAGGTAGAAATAACAGTATCATTGACATGATAGGAATGTTTGAAGGATAAATGAATTGATTTTTGTCCTTCTAGCAGGTCCTGGCTCATTGTAGTGTTAGTTGGTGGTTCTAGTAATGGTGGTGGCAGTAGTGGAAGTAATAGTAAGGTCCTCACTTTATTAATTTTTATAGATACATGAGGTACATGTGCAGATTTGTTACATGGATGTATTGCATACTGGTGAAGCCTAGGCTATTTGTGTAACCCTCACCCAGTTAGTGTGTACACCTGCTTGTGTAACCCTCACCCTGTCGAGTGAAGAATGAAATTTGGAGAGGAGAGCTTTATTTCTTACAAAGGTTGCAACCTGCAGGGTGGCCATTCTGATGGGCTGGGAAGCAAAGCCTCTGGCCAGAAGTGGGAATCAGGTACTTCAAGGGAGAGGCAACGGGAACAGGAATTTATGCTGAGCAGGGTAGCCAAATATACATATTTAACAAGCTAAAGGAGGGGTCATGAATATTTATGAAAGGGGAAATATGCACATGTGCACTTGAGCTTCATGCTACTTCATTGGATCCACGTTCAGAAAATGGTGGTGTTAGCATGACCAAAGGGTAGAGTTTTGGGCCCTCTGACATCAAAAGCAAAGCAGAGGACACAAAACCTTCTCTGCACAGTCTCTGTAGACTGGTCAAAACCACTCAGTGGTCAGTGGGCTCTAATCAGGAAGGAACGTTGGTCGATTTTTGTGCTGAAACCGCAAAAAGGGAGAAGCAGCATTAGGTGATTGATTGAAATCAGTGGCGGAGCAAGTCTTTCCAAAACCCTGGTTCTGTTTAACCCTTAAGGAAGAAGCCCAAAGGCAGTTAAAAAAGGGAGGGGGTATAATGAGGCATATCTGACCTCCCTTCTTTTCATAGCTGGATTTCAGTTTTAAGATGTCTCTGGGGCCCCGTTGGCCAAGAGGGGGTCTGTTCAATTGGTTAGGGAGCTACAATTTTATTTTCATTTCTTTACCCGACAGGTAATTTTTCATCTCACACCCCCCTTCCACCCTACTACCCTTCCGAGTCTCTAATGACTATTATTCTACTCTCTAGGCACATGTGTACCCATTATCCAGCTCCCACTTACAAAGGAGAACATGTGGTGACTTTCTGTGTCTGAATTGTTTCACTTAAGATAACAGCTTCCAGTTCTGTCCATGTCACTGCAAAAGAAATGATTTCATTCCTTTTTATGGGTGAGTATTCCATGGTGTGTGTGTGTGTGTGTGTGTGTGTGTGTGTGTGTGTGACATTTTCTTTATCCAATCATCCAAATTCTTGGGTTATCCGTGCAAGACTTCCCACTTCCCAAGTGCCCTGATCTTCAGACTACAATTACCTCTGATGTCCATGCTCCATCCGGTGAAGTCACCAAGCCTCTGACTTGGTCCTTGACCACACCATGAATGCCTGAGTCCAATCCTGATGTCTTCCTTGCCAGGAAAGGCATGAATACAGGAACCTCCAGCGACAACAGCCCAACCTCTATTTGTGGTGTATCATGATGTCACACCAAGTTTTGTCAGCCAAGGATGACTTTGGGGGCATCTGGGCATCACAAAGTCTCCATAGGTTAAAAAAAAAGTTAATCTATGGAAAAAATAAAATATATCTATAGGTAGGAAGGATGTTACAGAATTTAGATAAAGAATAATGGATCATTCTCGTGACTCAAGCATTCCCCGTGCTCTGTTCTCATGGCTTTCCCAACCAGGCCCTTCTAGAGGGAGAAACGACCTCAGGGAAGGGGATACAAAGGTGCCTCTGCATCCTTGTTGAACACCTGGCATGGCTCATATTTCCACCAGGGTCCAGATGTGATTGCCTCTTCCTGAACCTCTGAAGTTCAAGGCCTGGGGCAAATGCTTCAGTCTGTGGTGCATTACAGAGAACACTGCTAACGACTGGGACCCTCCCCTGATACCCCAGCACCCAGCAATGCAAGGGTGTGCTAAAGGTTGCGTCCTTACAGGAGAGGAGCCTGGGGATGCACGTCTGAGTTACAGCCCAGTCTCTCTGCGGACAAAGAAAGTGAGGCTGAGCTCAGAAAGAGCATGGGAACTAAATGTGACAGGTTGCTCTGAGGGTCAAGAGAGGAGAAATAACCAGATAAAGCAGAAAGAACTCCCAGCCTCCTATAACCCACAGACAACCAGGTCTTCCACA